CAAAACTTTATGGAGGTATTTTGATCAATATATATTTTTCGAATTATATTTTTATATATTTTTTTTTGATGTGCCTTTATGAGAAAACTGAGCGCTTAAAATTTCAAGTGATTTGGATTTATAAAAAAAAATAAAAATTCAAATACGAGATTGTAACCCTTAGATCAGCCCAAATTGAATCTGGATCATTGGCTTACAATGTAGCAGTCAGCCCGTGGGCTGACAGAATCCAATCCCTTTTTATTTTTCTTGAGAATGAGATCATTTACCTTTGATATAGGGTGGTCACAATTCCTTATAACCATTTGATGTGAAATTTGATAGCCTGAGTGTGTCACAAAGTTTATGAAAATTTCTTTTGAAGTTTGAGCTTAATCAATGGAATAATTGCAGCCATCCAATTTCACATCCAATGGTCAAGATTAATATGACCACTTTACATCAAAAGTAAGTGGTCTCATTCTATACTTTCCACATAAAATATATGTTTTTCCTCATCATCCAATTTAGATCAAGTGAGCCACTAACCATTTGATCTAGATCTGACACCTCAGAGTATTTTATTTTTAATTTTTTTTACAAATTATATGAATATGAAATTTGGTACGTACTATCATTTCAATGGGGTACACCTAAAAAAATATTAAAAGCAATTCTTCGATAAAACATAATGATTAAAATACATCTTAAAATTTTCAAGGGTATTTTGGTTATTTTTATTATTGAGAATATTTTTTAGACGTGTGACTTTAAGATAGGAACAGACACCCAAAATTTTGTGTCAAAATAGTTTGTAAAATAAAAATAAAAATAAAATAGTATAGAGACGTGACATTGTGATTGGGATCATCCCAGTCGTCTATTCAAAATGGATGGTTGGATAGGGGGAAGCATATAAGTTTTATACAGTAGGGGAAGCATAAAAAGCCTGCTCATTTTTCTTATTCTAGTTTTGCCACCAGTTTTATGTTGTGAATATCATACCCTTTTTGCTACCGATTTGATGTTGTGAATATCATACCCCTTTTTATTCTAGTTTTGCCACCGGTTTTATGTTGTGAATATCATACCCTTTTTGCTACCGATTTGATGTTGTGAATATCAGACCCTTTTTTCCACCGGTTTGATCTTGTGAATATTGGACCCCTTTTCAAGGTGGTCGGACTTTAAAAACATTAGATTGCCCCTTAGTATTTTTTAGCCTTGTAGCATTTTTTATATAAGTCCAATACTGCAAGCTGGAACCAATTTTTTTTTTTTTTTAAAGTCTAGTCTGATATCCCTAAATGTATAATATATTAGGTGTGTTAAGTAAAACCTATACATAAAACTAGGGATTTTAGAGATATCCTATGTACACATAAAACAAAGAGATTATCTACAGAGACCATTTATCTTTGGGAAAAGTTTATATAAAGTTGCAACTTTAAAATGTAGAATCACATATGTGCCTCAAAAATCTATCGAAAATGTTGTTTTAATGTTGAAAAAACACTCTGATCGATCATCTTGACATTGAGATGTATGAACAAGAAAAAAAAAATTTTGAGTCCCAAAAATAGTGCATCTAGCAACACATTATCTAGACCGTCCATTTTCAAGATTTGCATATATTTATATATCTACTTAATTTTAACTATTTTTGGAATTTAAATTTCTAATTAGTTATGAAACTAGATTTTAAGATAATACTAAAAATTTTATACAACAAAATTATATGTTATGATAAAA